TTTTTTTTTTTTTTTTTTTTTTTTTTTTTTTTTTGCAGTTAATACCGTGTTGAATGTTAAATTAAGTGAAACTGAAAGTGGCAAGTATGTTTCTGTTCTGGATTTACCAGGCAGTGTTCTAATAATACCCCAAGCCACGCTGGGTGGCAGATTGAAGGGAAGAAACATGCAGTACCATAACAACACAGAAAAAGAAAAAGGGATGGAGCTTTACTCCCAATTTGTGACTCAGTGTGAAAAAGAACTGGCTGCTAATACCAAGTGTGCTGAAGCAGGGGTTGTTGTCAAGTATGGCACGTATGGAAACAGGCAGGTGTTAAAACTAGATACAAATGGACCTTTCACTCATATGCTTGAATTTTGAAAAATAAGCTTTCCATGTATAATTGTTTCCAAGTGAATGTAGTATTTTCCATTTTTGTAAGTAAAGTGCCCTAGAATAATTTGAAAGTGAAGAAATAGATGATTTCAATAAACTTCCATTGGTTTTAAGTCCACAAATGCATTGATAATTGGAAATCAGTCTCTACATCCCCAGTTGTCTTATTGTAATTTTTATCCGAAATATTTTGTAAATGAAATGTATTTCACGTATACATCTTGGGTAAGTGCATTATTCACTTAGCTGCATGACACAATGCTATGTTACTTGCATAATACTGGTTAGCTGAATACCTGTTAAGTCATACAAAACTTATGTGCATAAAATATTTCACTTTCATTGTCTATTTTGTAACTAACTGTATTCCCATTAACTGTACCAGAAACAATGAGGAAGCAGCTTTCAACATGCTGCTATTAGAAGCCTTGAAAATGACAGAACTTAATCAGTTTCCCCATCTGTTATCTCCCTTTGCTTTCAAAGTTTTCTAATAGCAACCTGAAACTGAATATTAAAAGGCTTAAAAATGAGGGGAACAAGTTAGTTTTAGGACTGCTAACATTTACAGTCTGATAAACATTAAGTGGTGGAAGTACCCTTTAGCAGGGGCTGGGGGCCTGCTACAGACCTGCGGGCCAAGCTTTGCCAGCAAGAGACTTACCTGGGTGGGTCTGGAAGGGCTGCATGCCCCTGGTGCTCTGGGAAAAAGTGTCTGGGGAGAACCCAGGAGGTGAGTAGGCCTCCAGGGGCATTGAACCATGTGCCCCAGGAAGCCTGCTTTGACTGGCCAGAAGAAGAGAGCAGGAAATGTAAAGGGATGTCGAGAAGACCTTCAGTATTTGGCATTCTCCAGGAATGGGTAAATGCAGTGGAGCCGGGAGCTGCGTGCACTGGGGCAGGAGAGGACTCACATCACTGAACTCTCCCAGGTTGCCAAGACCCAGGTGAGAGCCCTGAGTGAAAAGTCACTTGCCCTTGCACAAAAAGCTAGGTAAAGTGGGCAGTTGGGAAGGGGAAGTCATACTGGCCGCACTAGAGACAGGATTCAGAGGGAGGTCTTTCCCATGGACCCAAAGGAGGCTGGCGAGGGTGAGGAAACTCAGATCACAAAGACAATAGTGAGGTTTAGAGGCAAGCCCAAGCAGGTAAAGATCCAGGGAGCTACATGATAAGCCCTGAATAATAAAAAGTAAAAGAAGAGGGTTTAAGCCATACCCTGAATGGGATTACAGGGAAAATTAAAGAAGAACACATAATTAATTTAGAAATATGGATGCAGGTGGAACTAGATTGGGAAATAGGCTGTCATTTACTTTAATGGGCTAGCTAAGTGCAGCTGTGAAGGTCCCAGGGGATATGGATTTGTGAGTACAAGGATGCTGCAGCTGGGATCCAGGAGGCATCAAGTGGATTAGGTTGTAAAGCCAGAAGTAAGTTTGAAAGATAAACCAAAAGGAAAAGATAATAAATAAGTTGATCTAAAGGACTAGCTAAATGAATCTCTGCCCTATGTGAAGAAAGACACAGGGTAATTGAGGCGTAAAGAATATAGTGAATGTTACATATGTGGATGGACAAGCAACTCAACTGCGGATAGATAATTCACAGGAACCAGGACAAGAACCAGAGAGTGACAAACAAGAGACACAGAGCAATCCAGGGAATCCTCCCCGCACAAGGCCATGGCGACTTTTTCGCCTCAAGCCTGAGGAAAGGGGCAGGTTGTAGGGCAGGTGGAGCACTGCAGAAGAACCAGGACCCCACCAGATGGATCTTCTGCCAACAAGTCATCCAATCTACCTAAAAGAAACAACTTGTCAGGGCATGGCATGGGAGTGGGAGAGCATGATGCAAATCCATAGCATTATAGCACAGTGGCAGGGCCGGAATACACATGTGCTCACATACCCACCCCAAACTATCTATTCCCTTTTTCAAGTCTTCTAATTAGTGTTGGGTCTGCTATAAGAAGCTTTGAAAAATAGAGAAACTTTTAATGAGTACGGTCTGGGAGCTGCTTATGCCACAGCAATATGTAGTCAAAAAGCACTGTTTATTTGGAGTAAGGATAAATTCACTCTCTGGGTAAGTGCATAGGTTTTTTTTACCAGTCTTGAAGCTATATGCTAAAATGGAGTACGCTCTCATTAAAAGTCAGTACAGTGATAGGCTAGGGACAGAAGTTATGCTTAAACTGCTTTAAGTGATCAGAAACCAGTTTAAACCTGTAACAGAATTTCAGTGCAGATAAACTACCTTTAAAATGGCTGAAACTGGATTAAGGTACACCTGGTTGAATGTAATATATCAGACTTAACTGGTTTGGGTCAAACTAGTTTATGGAACTTCTGTCCCAGCCCCCTTCCTGGTTCAAGTTAACTCATAGCCCCCAGCATCCCAGGATGCTTTGCAGCCCTGGGCTGGGCTGTGCTGTCTGCTCCAGCAGGGCAGGGTTGGCCTCGCCCCTCTGCTTCCTAGCTGGACCACTATCACTACTTCAGCTGGCTGAGAAGGGCATGGGGGTGAGAAACCCTGCTCTAGACGAGAGCCGGGTCTGGCTGGCAGGGGCAGAGCAGCCATTCGCAGGCTTTTCCACCACTTACCACTTGGGCGGAGGAGCTGGGGGTGTAGCCAGACACTGGCCCCAGGCTGCTACGCTGAGGGGAGGGAGGGAGTGGGGTGTTTTAAACCCCCTCTCCCACTGACATGGGACCCTAGCAGGGTCCACGTAGGGGGTGGGAGGTGTGAACAGATGCTGGGCGGGGCTGGCACACTGAGGCAGAGGGGAGGGAGGGGGATTTAAACCCTCCTCAGAGTTTATTGTATCATGTTTACAAAAACTTGCATCTTTATGGATTTAATTATTGCTGCCAATTTCTTAAAGATTTTTGCTTATTTCTCCTAAGGTACTATTTCCTGCAGGTAGAAAGTTTTAACCCTATCCCTTCTCTCTGCCTCAGTGTGCTGTACCCCTGCCAGACAGACCAGGCTGGGGTCCCATGCGGGTGGGGGGGGAGGGGATTTAAACCTCCCACCTCGGTGTGCTGGCCGTTGGAGTGACCAGCAGAGCAAAAGGTGGGGGGAGCTGCTGTACCCCCTGCCAAGGAGACCATCGGCTGGGTTCCCGTGTCAGTGGGAGAGGGGTTTACAAACAAACAAAAAGAAAGGGGTTTAAATTTTGTTAGCTACTAAGTAAAACATTTTTGGAAAGAACAAGTCTATAGAGGAGGAATCAGTTCCCTGTGCTCAATTCTCTGCTATGCCACAGAGTTCCTGCATGATGTGGAGTAGGGCCTTTAAGTAGCAAGCTGAAATCTGACAAAGGCACTATTTTCTCCCTTAGTTTGTAGAAGTTATTGTTACCTTCATGTCATTGAGGCCACAAATTTAGGAAGACTTGCAATAAAATTGAATACTTGTATGGGTAGCAGTTATATTTAGTTCAAAAGCAAGAGTTCCAAAAGAAATATAAAAACCATGTGCTTGAGAATTTATGTCATTCTTCAAGAATTAGGGATAAGGGCTGGGGGGGAGAGAGAGAGATTGCTCCACATTACTGTTGGGTTTCTTGTACCTTCTCATACAGGCCACTCCTGGAATACAAGTTGACCAGAAGGACCATGGTTCTGATCCTGAATTATAAGTCCTAAATTCCTATTTACCATATTTCTGTCTACCATATTCTGTGGTGCGATCCTGAATCATGGTTTGATATTTGAAAAGAATTGTTCTTCTTTTAGTTTCTTACAAGATGTAATTTAATGTGAAGTAATTATCTCCAGGCTCAAACTACATTACAAGAATCCAGTTTTGTGAATGGATATATGGCTCTGCATTGTAAATACAGAAGAGTGCGAGAATATTTCAAATGTATCAAATCATACAATTATGGTAATTATAAATTCTTAAAGAAAATTGTTTCCTTATAATTGCTATGTTTACAGTAAAACAAAGACATCCACACACATCATTTGGAAACATTTGCTATTTCAGAGCCAAATTGCACAGTTATTCATTAATAATTCATTCTGTTTACAACATGTGCTAGTTTTTAAGTTTTTCATAGAGAAGCCTATGTAAAAAACATTTTCTTGTGTGAACAATTTGTAGAAATTCATCAAAATTCTGTATATTTGGGAGAAAAACACCCTTTTTCATACAATTTTCTATTTTAGGCCAAATCATAAAAACTTGTTTCGAGTTGCTACAGCTCTGTCTGACTTCAAGAAGACAGGCTAGTATTTGCTATTCAGTACATCTTTGGAATTAGTCCTTGGAGGTGTTTCTTAATAGGAAGTCTGTGGGCTTTATGCCTTTCCATTAGAAGCATACCAGTTTTTTTACTATTTTTCAAATATATCTATCTTCTGAGAGAGAGTTAGGATTGAAATCATTAACAAGGCATAAAAGACCTCAAGCCAAATTCTACACTGACTTATTACTGTGAAACTCTGCTCTTGTAGGGATCCATAATGCTGGATTGGAGTTTATTGCCTCATGTTTACAAAAACTTGCATCTTTATGGGTTTAACTATTGCTGCCAATTTTTTAATGATTTTTGCTTATTTCTCCCAAGGTACTATTTCCTGTGGGTAGAAAGGAATTCTTGCAGTCTTCTAACAGTTTCAGAGATCAATAGCTTCTGAATGATGAGCCATTTCTGCTGCTTTATTTACATTATCTATTGAGTCATGATCCATTTATTGAAATAAACAATTCATAAATTGCCAAGTACATTGATCTTTTTTTTTTTTTTCAAAACCAAATGCTCTTATTGCTCTAACATGAATATACAACTCTTAGACAGATGATACCACCATTTTAAACAGCTTTTATTCTGTGACTAGGCAAAAACCTGAGTAATTATTCTGGTGTAGTCTTAGGTAGTATATATTGAGAAGTACTGAGTAATTCCCCACCTTCCTTTGATAATTGTAAGATCAGAAAGGACCCTTATGCTCACCTAATACAGGCCATTAAGTTTCACCTAGTAATTCATAAATCAAGTGTTTATCACTTAATTTGAAAGTGTGCACATTGAGTACTTCTAATGTTAGTATGTACAATCCATAGACTGTTAAAATAAGTACAAGATTTCAGGTGAAATAGTCTGTGTCCATAGGTTGCTACTTCCTTCCTGTAGCAGGGAGCTTGCTGCTCCTGCTACTTTCAGGGAAGGCCGGCTGCAGGTGAGGCAGAGGCAATTCAAGGGAGACGCATGATCCAAAGGGGGCTGGACTTGCAGGGTATAAGCCCAGGGCCTGACCTGGGCAGGCAGTCTGATCTGGAAGTCATGGAGAGGAGCAGAAAGGTTGCAGCAAGGCACCTGACTAACACCTGAGCTGGAGTGAGCAAGACTGGTGGTTTAGGGATTGAGGGCATTTATACACATGCTTTTTGGTCCTGCGACACGCTGGAGATCTGCTGCTTCAGAGCAGGCTCAATTAATTGGGTCTGCTCTGCAAATGAGCTGATGCACACTGTGCAGTTGTGTAAGTGGTGAAATGTGTGTCAGCGCACAGAAAATGGCGGTGTGCTTTTGAACTAAAGCACCGTCTGTGTGTATTAGTTCAAAACCACGCTGCCACCATTTTCTCAGGGCTGACGCACATTTCACTGCTTATACAACTATAAGCGTCACAGTGTCAGGTGCTTTTATGTGTAAAAATGCCATGAGACTCTAGGGGTGGTGAAAATTTCAACTGGCCCCGGAGTGTGGGCAGGGCCTGAGGAATAGGGGTCAAGGCAGAGGAGCAGGGCCACAGCCAGAGTGATGACATCAGGCAGGGGCAGGGATTTGTAGCCTGTAATGGGTGAGAATCAGGGTCAGAGAGCCATAGCCCCCAAGGGGCAAGAAAGCAGGGCCGGGGCTATAGCTGTGGAGGGATAGTCTTGGAGGTAACGAGGCCTGAGCCCAGGAGGCAGAGGTCTGGGCCCTGGAGGAGCCAGGAACAGTTAGAGATAGTGACCTGAGCCCAGGAGGGGCAGAGAATGCCGGGCAAAGCCCAAGGCGGGTTCAGATTGTTCAGCCTACAGAGTCCCGAGCCCAGGAAGGGCCAGGAGAGTTAAAGGCACCAGGGCTGGAAGCCCTAACAGTGGTGGAGACTGTTCCAAGTTTAGAGGCCTGCATTGACTGGAGTTGACAAAGGGGCTGAAGGCTCATGGATGAGAGATGGACTGGATTGGACAATGGGGCTTAACACTCAATGACTGGTAACATTTGCGAGGCTAGGGCATGGCTAAAAGGAGAGATGGGGAGGCCATGTAATTAGTCCATAAGCAATGACGTGTGTTAATGAGCTTGAGCTCTCACTTGGGGAACGCTGGGGCAGCCTCCCTTTTTTCTTAAAACATAATTGCATCAAGTTGTAGCAGGTGAGTCAAAGGGGAGATTGCCCAAAGAAAGTAAAGGTAAGAAGGGCTGAGGGAAGCTCCAGGGTTGTCATGGCCAACCCTGGGTTGGGATCCTGTTATACTTCCCTGGCTGTTTGTGAAAGACTTTACCTTTGTTTTACATGTTATGCAACAGATTTAATATTAATCACTAACAACTTACTCCACTATTGTCCTGTGTTTACTTGTTGAGAGTAGAGCCAAATTAACATCTCCTTTGCCCTATACAACTTGGGGATAGTTTCATTATGCACAGCAATAGCAGGGTCATCCAGAATCAAGAGGTAGAGGGATAATGTTCTTTTCTACCTCCTTCTTAGAATGTAGAATCCAGATTTCCTGAGGACAGAAGAAAAACCTTACAACTTCTAGCATCTTGTGTTTTGCCTGGTTATCCTGTGCATGTGTCCACAAATCTGCACAAATAGAATTAATATCATAGTTTCATAGTTTCTAGGGTTGGAAGGGACCTGAGAAGATCATCTAGTCCGACCCCCTGCCATGGCAGGAAGGAGTACTGGGATCAAACGACCCCAGCAAGGTGTTCATCTAACCTCTTCTT